AGAACTATAAAATATGTGAAATAAAAATTGATGGAATTGGAAAGAGAAATGGACCAAGCCACAATTAAAGTTGGAGATATCAGCATTCCTCTCTCAACTATTGATAGGACATTTAGATTTTAAAAAAAATCTAAAAGGATATATAGGAATAATCAGCCAACAAGGTCAAATTGATATTTATAGAACATTCCACCTTAAAACAGCAGAACATACACTAAATTTGCCCATGAACATATACCAAGAGAGACCATATCCTGGGCCATAAAGCAAACTTCAAAAAATTTAAAAGAATCAAAATCTTATAGAGTATTCTCTTTATCCACAATGGAATCAAATTATAAATTGGCAATATAGATATAACAGGAAAATCTCCAAATACTTGGAAATTAAGCAGTACACTTCTAAATGAATTAAAAAGGAGAGAACCAAAGGAAATATTAAGATATCGTTAACCTAATAAAAATCAAGGTAATCCAGGTGTGGTGGCACATGACTGTCATCCCAGTGGCTGGGGAGGCTAAGGCAGGAGGATTGAAAGCTTGAGGCCCGCCTCAGTAGTTTAACAAGACCTTGTCCAAAATTAAAATAAATAAATAAACAAAAAAGAGATGGAAGTCAGTGGTAGAGCACCCGTGGATTCCATCCCCATTACAAAAAAGAAAAAAAAAAGGTAAAACATCAAATTTTGTGGAATCCACTGAATGCAGTGCTGAAAGGGGATTTTACTGCACTAAATGCATATGTTACAAAAAAGGAAAACCCTCAAATCCATAGTCTAAGATCCCACCTTTAGAGCCAAGGAAAAGAAGAGCAATATAAACCCTAAGCCAGCAGAGGAAGGAAATAATAAAGATAAGAGCAGAAGCCAATAAATTATTTTTAAATGGAGAAAATCAATGAAATAAAGGGTTGGTTCTTTGAAAAAAATCAATAAAATTGACAAACCTCCAGCAAGACTGACAGAGAACAGAGAGAAGGTGAGAGGACACAAATTGCCTGTATCAGGAATGAAACAGGGAAGGTCACCACAGACCACGCAGATCTAAGACGGTGATAATAAGAGAACACAGCACATCCGGCTGGGGCTGGGGCTCCGTGGCAGAGCGCTTGCCTGGCATGTGTGAGCGCTGGGTTCGATCCTCAGCACCACGTATAAACAAATGAATAGAATAAAGATCCACAAAAAAGACCCCTTTCCCCAATACACAAGCTACGACAGTTCCACCACGAGACAGATCATTTGAGTGGACCAATAATTATTAAGGAAATTGAATTTAAATTTTTAAAACATGCAAAAAAGAAATCTCCAGACTCAAAATATTTTGTGGGAGAATTCTACCAAACATTCGAAGAACGAACCCCAATTCTGCACAAACTGTTCCATAAAAAAGAGGTGAGAGAAAGAGAGCACTGTTCAATCCATCTTTTGAGATCAGTATTATTACCCTGAACCCAAACCAGGTAAAGACAATGAAAAAGAAAAATTCACTGCCTGACAACCCTCATGATATAGATGCAGAAAATCCTGAATAAATTCAGAAATCTTGTATTAGAATTAAACATCATAACCTAGTGAGGTTTATTTCAGGGAGGTTTATTTCAAGCTAGTTCAATAGTTAAGAGCTGGGTGTGGGGCCAGGTGGTGCACGCCTGTAATCTCACCTACCCAGGAGGCTGAGGCAGGAGGACTGCAAGTTGGAGGCCAGCCTGGGCAGCTTAGATCCTGTTTCAAAATGACAGGGGCTGGGATGAAGAAAATGAAATTATGGCAGTTTCAAGAAAATGGATGGAACTTGAGAACATTCTGTTAAGCAAAATAAGCCAAACCCAGAAGGGCAAGGGTTGTATGTTTTCTCTCATATGCAGAAGCCAGAGAGGAAAATGCAAAAGTAAGGTGGGTGGGTGGGGATCTCACGAAAATTGAAGGTAGATCAGAGGAAAGAGACAAGGCGGGAGGAGGAAGAGAGGGGAAGAGGAAATACCGAGGAATGCTGCCGACCCAATTATACTGTTATATTGTGTGTGTGGGCAAATAGGAGCAATGAATCCCACCTTTAGGCACAACTATAATGCACTAATAAAAATATGGAAAGTAGCTGGGCGCGGTGACACACACCTATAATCCCAGTGGCTCTGGAGGCTGAGGCAGGAGGATCACGAGTTCAAAGCCTGCCTCAGCACAAACGAGGTGCTAAGCAACTCAGGGAGACCCTGTCTCTAAATAAAACACAAAATAGGGCTGGGGACGTGGCTCAGTGGTCGAGTGCCCCCGCGTTCAATCTCCAGTATGCTCCCCCCCCAAAAAAATATGGAAAGTAAAAGAAAAGAGCTGGGATGTAGCTCAGTAGTAGAATGCTTGCCTAGCATGGGTGAGGTTCTGGGTTCAGTCCCCAGTACAGGACAAAGGAGGCGGGGGAGTGGCGGGTAAGAGGAAGGGGAAAGAAGGAGAGGAGAGAAGGAGAAAAAAGAGGGGGAGAGGAGGAAGAGGTGGGGAGGACAACAACCGCATGACCAAGTCAACACAGAAAAGGCATGTAACGACACGGACTTCCATTTATGAGAGAAACTTCCAAACCAATAGAGAACCTCCTCCATTTGGCAAAGCACATCTAACAAAAATCTACAGCTACCACTTATTCTTAGTGATGAACAGTGGAATGCTTTCCCCCTAAGACCAGGAACACAATAAGTACTGTGACTTGACTGTGTCCCCTTCAAAACTCAAGCGTTGGAACTTAATGCCCAGTGTGTCAGTGTAAGAGGCAGTGCCTTTAGGAAGGGAGGAGGCTGTGAGGCTCCTTCCTGGGGAATGAGTTGAGGCCCTGAAGCAGAGGCTTCCTGCGTGCTGGGCCCTCTCCGGCCTCTGTCTCCTCTGCCATGTGACACAGCACAAGATGCCATCTTGGAAGGAGAGGGCACAACCCACAGCAGACAACTGAATATGGGGGGGGGGGGGGTCTTGGACTTCCCAACCTCCAGAGCTGTGAGAAATAATTTCTATTCTTCATAAATCTCCCAATCTGTGGGGTTTCATTGTGTCAGCACAGATGGACCCTGACTGCAAGGATGTCAGCTTCTCATATTGCTCTTAGGCACACAGGAGCTGGAAAGTTCTAGCCAGAGCCATAGGCAATGAAAGATACTGACAGGAAAGGAAGAAATAAAACTTCTCTGGGTACAGACGCCATGATTTTTCCTTGTAGAAAATCTTGAAGGCTCCACCCCGCAACGCCAAACTCCTAGAATGAAGTTCGGAGATGTTGCAAAATATAAGATAAATATACAAGAAATTACTTCTATACAGCAAAAACTCCTAAGCGGCAAAATTAAAAATAGAGCACCGTTTAAGATTGCCAAAAATCATTAAATAAAATACTGAGATATAAATCTAACCAAGCGTGAATAGGACTTGCATTCTGAAAACCCCCATAATTGCTGATGAAAGAAATAAAAGACAATATACATTGGTGGAGAGACTTAGTGTGTTCTCGGATTGCAAGACAACATAGCAAAAGGTCAGTTCTGATGAACGGGTTTGATGCAATTTCTACCAGAATCCCAGAAAGATATTCTGTACAGTTTATTCTGAAGTTTATATGAAAAGCCAAAGGAACTAGAAGAGCTAAAGCAATTTTGAAAATTAACAAAGTGGGAAGAGTCAGTGTATCTGATTTCATGACTTACCATATAGCTTTAATAATTAACACTGTGTACTTTTAGCAGAGGAACCTACACATTAATGGAACAGAAGAGAGAACCCCGAAATAGGTCCTGCTGTGTTTTGTTTTGTTATTGTTGTTTGTACCAGGGATTGAATCCCAGTTCCCTTAGCCACTGAGCCACATCCTCAGCCCTTTTCATTTTTTATTTAGAGTCAGGGCCTCACTAAGTTGCTCAGGCTGGCTTTGAACTTGTGATCTGCTGCTTTAGCCTCCTGAGTCACTGGAATTACAGGCATGCACCACCACACCCAACTTGGGCCTGATGACTTCTGACAAAGTTGCAAAAGCAATTAAATGGAAGAAAAAGAGCCTTTTCAACAAATAGTACTAGAACAATTGGACATTTATGGGTAAAAAAAAAATAAATACACAAAGCTTCACAGATTTAAATGTGTAGCATAAAGTTAAATAACTTTCAGAATAAAACATAAAAAAAAAATCCCCAGACTTAGTGGATTTAGCACCCAAAGCATGATCCATGAAAGGAAAAAATTGATAATTTGGACTTTACCAAAATTAAAAGCTTTTGCTTTTGAAAGACCCTGTTAAGTACACAAACAATGGATTGGGAAGAAATATCACATAACCAAAAAAGGATTAGTATCTACAATATATAAAGAACTCTCAAAATTCAACAGCAAGAAAAGCAAATGATCAAACTGGAATTTTCACAAAAAGTATAAAGAAACATTTCATTGAGGAAAACACACTGCAAATCACCCAATGAAAAGATGTTCAATATCATAGCCATTAGGGAAATACAAATTAGAAAACAAAACAAAACAAAACAAAAAAACACAGTGAGGACTAGGACTGTAGCTCAGTGGCAGAGTGCTTGCTTCAAGTGTGTAAGGAACTGGGTTCAATCCTCAGCACCATATAAAAATAAACAAAATAAAGGCATTCTGTCCATCTACAACTACAAAAAATAATTTAAAAAAAACTCACAGGGATACATCCCTACACAATGATCAGAATGGCTTAAAAATAGAAAAGAAGTAATTTCACCAAAGGCTGAAGGGGATGTGAAGAAAATGGGTCATGCCTACACTGCTGTTGGTGATATAAAATGATACAGCCACTCTAGAAAACAATGTGGCAGGTTAAAAAACAAAAACAAACAAACAAACAAAAAATATGCAACATACTTACTATACTATAAATATAGGCATTTATTCCAGAGAAATGAAGATACATGTTCAAATACAAATCGTATTCACTGTAGTCAAAAACTGGAGATAATGTTAAACGGCTACGTGAATAAACTGCGGAACCTCCATATCAGGGAATACTATACAACAATAAAAAGAACAAACTATTGCTCTATGCAAAAACACTTGAATGAAAAGTTTTCAATTAGCAATAATCGCGCCTCGGATAAACCTCATTGGCTACGATACTGCCACTGCGCAAAGCTAAAAAAAACACTTGAATGAATAACCAAAGATTACTAAGTGAAAAAAAGCCAATCCCTAAAGATAACATTAATGATTCCAACTGTAAATATTCTTTTTTTAAAATTTGTTTTTTAGTTGTAGGTGGGCACAATATCTTTATTTTATTTTTATGTGGTGCTGATTGAATCCAGTGCCTCACACATGATAGGCGAGTGCTCTACCACTGAGCCACAACCCCAGCCCTTGAAATAACAAAGTATAGAAATGGAGAAGAGATTAGTGGTTGCTGGGGTTACAGAGGCGTGGAAGTGAAAGAGAAGTGAGTGTGCATAAAAAAGCAATGTGAGAGCTAAGAAAGCCCATCTTGTAATCCCAGGGGCTCAGGAGGCTGAGGCAGCAGGATTGCGAGTTCAAAGCCAGCTTCAGCAATTTAGCAAGGCCCTAAGCAACTCAGCAAGACCCCGTCTCTAATAAAATATAAAAAGGGGCTGGGGATGTGGCTCAGTGGTTGAGCACCCATGTGTTAAATCCCCAGTACAAAAAAAAAAAAAAAAAAAAAACAGAGAAAAAGAGGGGTCTTCCTGGGACGCAATATTCCCTATCCTGACTGTATTGTGCTGTGGTTTTGCAAGAGGTTACCTTTAGGGGGAACTGAGTAAAGACAACTCAGAACCTCTCTGTATTATATTTGACAACTGTGTGTGAATCTACAGATATTTCAAAATAAGAAGTTTAATTTTTAAAATTTAGGTGAAAAAAAAATTAGGTGACAACAGAACAGACAGAATGGATTGGGGCTGAAGTGAAGAGGTTTGAGAACTCCATTCTAGAAATGAAGCCTTTTTACTTTGAAAACTCATTTTCACTCTTCAGAGGTTGCTGGGGGTGAAAGCAGTTTGCAGTGATGGATCGAGTGCTGGGGGCTTTATGGGCTGTAGTTTGAAGCAAAGCAGGTGGGGTCAAGTTTGGAAGATGCACAGGAAGGTCAGCAGGCCAGCAGGTCAGGAGGTCAGGCTCAGGTCAGTTTGGCTGCAGGGACTGCAGAGGCCACTTCCTTACCAGTCAGTCTGGAGCTGGTGAAAGACTCCGCTGGAGCTCCTGAAAAGACCCAGGGGCTCCCTAACTGGTCACAGGCACCAGTGACCATCCAGGGACATATACTGGGGGAAGGAAGTGACTCCCATGGAAGTTTCCTGGGAAAGGCTCAAGCGCAGGTGTCTCAGAGGCAGAGGGATGGACCCCAAGGGTAAGTGTTAGGGTTCTTGTCCTCCGGATACTAAGCCTGTCCCCCTGAGAATCCTGAGCACTGGGTAGATTGGAGGTGTCTTCATTTCTCAGGTTTCCGTGGTTCAGAGGTGGCCTTGTTTCGTTTTGTATTTATGGTCTGAAGCAGGGTTTCTCAAATGTTAGCCTGCAACAGAGTCACCTGTGGGTCTGGTAAATCGATTTCTGGCCGAAACACCCCAGAAATCCTTATTTCCTAGGTCTGGAGTCTGGTGGGCAATTTGCATTTCTACAAGTTTCTGGTGAAACTTCTGGTCCAGAGACCACCTTCCCAGACCCGCTGGTTTGGGTAGACTTAAACCCCGGAGGGGGAGAGGTCTCTATCCCTACCTGGAACAGCTGAGGCCTGAGATTTGGGGTCCAGGCAGAACAGGGGCCCAGTGGGTGGCGAGTGGAGGGGTGAAGGAGGTCACTGGAACAAGGAGGCGGCCGGGCTGTGGAGGGCCGCGGGAGGAGACAGGGGAGCAAGGGCGTGTCTGTGATTTCTGAAGAAGTTGGGGAGGGTGGGATTTGGGGGGCGGGCAGCTCATGTGGAATTCAGCTTTCAGGGACCGAAAGGCAATGTGAGCTTGGGCTTTGGAGCCCAGAGATCTGGGCTTCCTGGTTGCGCGGAGCCTGGCTCCGAGGGCGCCCTGAAGGGGTGGGGCGCCCCCGAACACGCGCAGGCCCCGCGACTCGGAGGAATACGGCGGGGGCGGGGCCTTGGGGGCGGGGCGGCGCTGCGGGCCCCGGCGGAGGAGCCGCGCAGCCCAGTCCCAGCCGAGCGGAGTCTGCGGCCGTGCCTCCCTCGCGGTCCCCGCCTGGAGCCCGGCACCGCCGCCTGCCGCCCCCGCCGGCCGCGCCGTGACGCGGGCATGAGCCTGCCCCGTGGCCCCGCCGAGCCAGCGCCCCCGGCCCGGGCCTCGGCGCCCAGGTAAATGGGGGGCGCGGGGCGAGGAGGGGACCTAGGCCGCGCCGAACCCGCGAGACCCCCGGCAGCTCTCATCCCCCGGCCCCTCCGGAACCTGCGGACGCTCCAACCCACCGAGCCTTCCAATCTGTGAGGGGGAGGGGTCTCAGACGCGCGCCCCGAAGCCAGTTCTTGGGCCCTAAAACTACCCCTGAACTGTCCCCACCCCCAGCTCTCCGCTCCGGGAAGCCCAGCTTAGGATCTGACCTCACCTGCACCCACTCACACCTCATCAGAGAAACCCAGGCCCCTGGCGCCCTCCCAGCCCCATTCCCGGCACCCCACCCCATCTCCCAGCCCCCGCCCTCCTGCTTGCTCAACTTCTCCAGATTCCAAGAGACTGTGGCTCTACCCGCACTGGCCCCGCTGCCCACCCCCACCTGAAGATGGGGTGCCTACGGTTGCTTACACTCATGGCCAACTGCCTGCTGCCCTTGACCCTTTCTCCCCTGACATCCTGGGGCCTCCCCCTCCCCCCGCCTTGGTTCCAGTTAAATGCTTTCTGTCATGGCAAAGGGGCACGAGCTGAGGTTGAGCACCTCAGTCTACTATGTGGTGCCCTCATAGTTCACGGCAGGACAGTTGCCAGGGCACTGAATGGAGGGCTCAGGCTGGATGGGGTCTGATAGTGCTGAGCAGGGGCCAGAGTCTACTCTAGAACACTCCACTAATAGCAGTTAGGGACTAGGCTTCAGGTGACCCCTTTCAGGGGAATTGGGTCCAGGACAAGCGGTTCCTGCCCCCCATCTGGGGTGGGTCCCAGAAGCTGTAAGCTCTCTGACCAAGTGCTCCTTTCTATGTCTGGGTGCTGGTTACTCCCCGGAAAGGCAGCAGGCTGGGCATGACCTCACCTAACAACCCCAACCAAGGTGGGGCCACCCAGTGAAACCTGGACACAGCGTCAGCAGCACGCTGTCCCCTGAGGCAGCTTTGAACCAAACTGGGTCCTGAGTCCTGAGTCCTGCTGGCTCTCCTCTAACAACTCTGCTGCCCATGATGGTCAGCACTGGGCCTCAGGGCACTCATGCTTTTGGAACTGAGCTGGCAGCCAGATGTGTGGTGGTGGAAGGATGAGGAAGAAAAACCTAGAGAGAAATGTTTGTTCAGTCCCCAAATATTGAGCACCTCTCTCTCAGCACTTGGCAGTGTCCTCGGAGCCAGGCTGGAGCTCTGACTAGACAGAAGAGGCCTGTCCATCAGGGAGCTGCCAACCTAGATGTCTTTCTGTGGCTGAGGAGTAGACAGATGAAGGAACAAGAAAATCCCACAGTGACACTGGATGTCCTGAGAGAGCTAACTAGCAGGGCTCCTCTGGCCAGGGTGGTCAGGAAAGGCCTCCTGGAGGAGGTGACCTTTGAGCTGAAGTCTGAATGAAGCAGTGGAATGAACCTTGAGAACTTGTGAGGGAACAGTGTCACAGGCAGGGAACAGCAGGTATAGTGGGCCTGTGTGGGGAGGAGTTTGGCATGCTGAGGGGTGGTAGGACAGTGGAAGAGAATAGATGGCAGTGACATAGCACCACTTTCCTGGGCTCAGGATCTGGATACTATGGCTGTTCACATGTCCCTTTGCCCAGTTAGGTACTTGGTGTCCATGTCACCTAGGATGGGACCTGCAGTGTTTTGGTGGTGGCTCCATACCCGGGGCCCTGATAACAATAGCACTGGGGATGAGGAGCCAGGCGAGCAGGTAATGGGAAGTGTCCCTGGTGCTGGAGAGAATCCGCCCTCTGATAGGATCTTTGCTGTGGGGTGGAGGCAGGCACACAGTGAGATGGTGTCCAGGTAGGGCTGTCCCTGAAGCTCTGATAAGATCCCATCTGTCTGGCGGGTGGAGAGGCCCAGCCAGGCGGGCATCTGCTCCTGCTCTGTCATTGGTTGCCAGCTTCAGCGAGTAGCGTTTGTTCTGGAGCCAAAGCCTCCAGGCAGAATCCAGGGAGGGAGTGCTCAGAGTGGCTGCCCGATGGGGCAGGTGGGCAGGGACCTGCCTGCCCCGGGAGCAGAGGGAGCAGAGGGACCGTACCTGGCTCTTTCTGAAAAGCTGTGGGGGCCTGGCCCAGGCACTGTCTGGGGTGGAGCCGCCAGGTTGATGTGAGGCTGGGATGGGGCTGCTGGAGGGGGGGCTGTGAGGGGGGCTGCTGGACACTCACTTAGCTCTTCTAGGTGATCAGAGCTTCCAGACCTCTGGTCCAGTGCCCAGGACCTCACATCCTCTTGCAGTAGTGGGCAGTCCCCTGCTGCAGACTTGGGAGGTTGCTGGAGGCTCAGTGGCTCCACAGTTGGGCAGGGCAGGGGCTCTCTGCATCCCTCTGCCTTGGGATGCTCTCTGGGCTTTACAGGGTCAGCGTGGGGGCGCTTTCTTGCTCACCACATTCAGGCCCTCTAGGGAATGGGGTGGGTCTAGGTCCCCCTTGACCTTATTGCCTGTCAAATTTGTGAGTCCACCTGTTGGCCATTCCCCATCCTGTACCATACCATTTTGGGTCAAGGTGGGGGCTTGCTTTTGCAAACTCATTAGGGACTGAGTGTGGCCTGGAGCTGCTGTGACTTGGAGCCGGAGTCAGATGCCAGGACGTTGGCCCCAGGCTTCCTGGTTTATCTCTGCGGGCTGATTCTAGAGCTGAGGGTCCAGGGCCATGTGTAGGGCTGTGCCAGACACAGCGGGAGCACTCTGAGAGCTTGGGGCCACTGTCCCTCCCTGCTGCCACTGGGAAGATGGATGATGGCACCAGAGGGAACAGGCCTGACGGGAGGTGGAAGGCTGGCTGTGGGGGGCTGCCTAGCCCTGACTGGGCAGCTGCTTTCAGAAAAAAGCAAACCAGAACCAGCAGCCCTGGGAGTTTTTCAAGGCAGTTTTTCTGGGTCTGCAGTGAGCATCGGGTCTTCCAGATTCCTCTCCTCATTTAAGAAGGGAGCTTGTGCTTTTTTAACCAATGGGGAAACTGAGGCACAGGAAAGTTAAGTGGCTTGTCCAGACTGCACAGCTGGCTGGATTCGCACTCCTGGCTGTGCCGGCTGCTGGCCACCTTGGATGAACCCAGGGGCCCGGTGGCTTCTCATAGATGTGTTTGGGAAGGGGCCTTCGGCACCGGACCACAGCGGTGTCCAGCCTGCTAGTCCTCTTGGGAGCTCCAGGGAGCCAGCGCTTGCTCTGGTGACAAGGCAGTCCAGGAGGCAGGCAGTGGGGACAGAGCTGGGAAAACTGACCTCTCTCTGACTGCCGGAGCCCAGGTTGGGCACAGCCAGTGGGGACCGGACCTTCCAAGAGCAAAAGTGGAAGGCTTGGGTTTGGGAGGGACAGACAAATTGAATGAACAGGAGGGCCGCTGAGAGTGGCACATGGAACTGGGGATCATTGCCCCTCTGGCCCTCTCCTGGTTTGTGTGTGCTCACTGTGGTGTCCCATCTGTTCCCTGTTAGGGACTCAACAGATTGGCCTCCAGGAGACTGATTAAGGCCTGGTGGCCGCAGGTCCAGCAGCATGCTTGTCTCAGGGCCCCATCCAGGCAGAGGCTAAGCTGATCCCCCAAATGCTACTGCACCTCCACCTAGTGATGCTGGAGACACGGGAAGCCACGTGGTTGACCAAGCCCTGTCCCTGAGGCTCCGTGGCCAAGAAGGCTTAGGTGGTAGCAGGCAGCCAGAGTTGTCCAGAGGACGGTAATCTGTCCCCAGACTGGCCTCCATCTCCCATCCTGAAACTTCTCATTCATTTCTGGCTACTCCTTGGATTTACTGTGTGACCTTAGTCCTATGGCTCACCCTCTCTGGATAAGTTTCTTTCCCATTTGTAAAATGAGGCTGTTAGACAGTCATTGCTAAGATCCCCCTGAGTCTGTGTTACCTACTGATGTGCCTGATTTGAAGTGACCCTGCTGGTACCCTCGTTTCCAGTTCCATATTGAGCTCGGCTTGGTGCCCACACTGGCTTCTGCATCCGCTGGACTCTATCTTCTGCCCTGCACCCAGGCTAGTCTCCCTGTAATTAACTCTTGCCCATGCTCAGAACATGGAGGCGCTGTTTGGCCCCACCAGACCCAGTGGCCCGTTGGGGCCCAGTCCCCACCCTCACAGATTGGCCCAGTTTTCCCAGTTTCAGGGTCAGGGTGAGACATCTACTCCCACAGCGGCCACCTCCAGCCGGCAGGCACATTCCTCAGGCTTATCTGGGGGCCCGCCCCACTGAACTCTGCCCTCCTACCCAGGAAGCAGGACCCAGAGGAGCGCTAAGTCCAGGGGCCTGGAGCTGGCCTGAGGGGCCTGGGAGGTGCTCCCCAGCTTTCCTCCCGGCTGGAGAGAGTCAGGTAGAGGACGGGTGGGGCAGGGGTTGGAGTCTGCGAGGCCCCTTGTCTTTAACCCCAGGGAGCGGGGTGTGGGCTTTGCTCAGCCCTCAGACCCTGGGCCCTGTCCTAGGACTACCCCCCCACCCGGGAGCGTTGCCCCTGGGGCTCAGCTGCCCCGGGAAGGGGTTTGTTCTGGCAAGTTGCCCCAAGTCTGCCCCAAAGTTGTAACAGGGAGAGGGCCAGTGGCCGGAGAGCTGTGGGGACGGAGGGACCCAGCTCCGGGTCCCAGCCCGGGTTGGGGGGAGCTCGTGGCCACCCTTCCTCCGCCCTCCTCCTCGGTGGGAGCAGGAGCCGGCCCGCCCAGGAAGGGGTTAACCGCCAGCCCCGCGCGAGGGAGGGACTGGGCTGGACCATTTTCTCGTGCTGCCTCCACCTCGGTTTTCCTGAATGGTTCTGTCGCCCTGGGGTGGGGAGGGAAGGGAAGGAAGAAGGGCGGAGGGAGGGAGGGAGGGAGGGAGGAGTGTGGGAAGAGGAAGGAAAAAAGAGAGCGAGCGAGACAGCGAGGGGAGAGAGATGTCACTGTCTCTGATCTCGCTGTCATCTGCGTTTGCAGCAGGCGCCGGGCACAGGAGCTGCTAGAACAATGCTGACGCGGGCGAGGTGAGGAGCGGCCCGACGACAGACGGGCGCCACGCCGGCTCCTCTGAACAGGTGACCCAGGTGATCGGAGGAGTCCAGACCCAGGCCACCTGGGCGTCCCTCCCCTGCCTCGGCCAGCCTAGCACCCCGGAGACGGCGGGACAGCCATGGCGACCAATTTCAACGACATCGTCAAGCAGGGCTATGTGAAGATGAAGAGCCGAAAGCTGGGGGTGAGCCCGCGGGCCCTGCCAGGGACGGGGGGAGGCATGGCGTGTGTGTGCGCCGCCTGCCCGCCTGGGCATCGTGCGTTTGTGGTCTTGAGACTTCTCTCCGCGGGCTGCCTGGCATGTGCCACCCAGCTCGGCCCGCGGCAGCCCCCGCCCCTGCGCGGCTGGCTGGCATCCCAGCCGCTGGGCAGCTGTGGTGGCCGGTGGGCAGGCGGCTCCGCTATTGTTGAAGTTGGGCCGCAGCAGCAGCAGCAGAGCCGGGAGGGCGGGCTGAGCTGGATCCACTGCCTCGGCCCTGCTCTTCTTGCCCCTTGCCCCCCACCTCTGGGGGCCTCTTTTCCTTAGAGCACCCCTTCCCCTGCCCCCCCGCTGCTTTTCTCCTGTGAATATGTACATTTCAGGGTGTTTCTGATGGTAATGAAGTGTTTGGGAAGAAGAGTGCTTTGGGGGAACAGGGCCAGGAGAGCGAGGGGCAGAGCTGGCACTTACCTGGCCTGTACTTGAGAACTTATGGTAGGAGTTGGTGGTGGGCTTGGAGGGGCGGCAGATGAGGCTTCGAGGATGTGCACCAGTTCCCCCGAGCCTTGAGACCCGGCTGGGGAAGATCCCCTAGAAGGCATGAGCAGGGCCCCCAGGGACCCACTGAATGATCTTGGTGAGTCCAAGAGCTGCCTTTGCTCCCCTGCAGACCCTTCCCCACCTCCAGTGAAGGGGCTGGCAGCTGCCCCTCCCCAGCAGGAAGGAAAGCCCTGGTGACCCCAGTCACCGAGTCTGTTCTCCTCAGGACTCCGGTCCTTTCCCCCCCCCCCCCCCCATTGCCTGGACTCGGGAAGGAAGCTCCAGGGCTCCCAGTTCAGCCTGAGTGGGGCAGAGGATGAGGAGGGGCCCAAGGATGTGGCACCTGCTTTCCAGCCTGGGTACCAGGTGGGAAGGGATGGCCTTGGGGAGGGGTGTAGCAGCCCTTCTTCCCCTCGTGGGCCTTTCAGGGCTGTGTTATGTGCTGGGCCAGTGTCCTCACTGCCATCAGGTGGGCCCTTGGTCCTGCAGGGCAGAGCTGGTGGCATGATTTGAATTTGAAGCCCAACTCCGAACGCAGCCTGGTGGGGACAGCCCTGGCAGCGTGGACCCCTGTGCTCTCCCTAGACAGGGATTCAGTCACTGACTTCAAGCACAGAACAAAGAGGCTGAGGCCTGGGTGGGGAGGCCAGGGAGGTGGAACCCAGCTTTAAACCCACTCCTCATTCCTGTGGCCTGGACCTCGCAGCCAGCTGGGCTGAAGCCTGTCTGGGGCAGAGCTTGCCCAGAAGGTGCTGGCCTTAGGGCGGCCACTTGGGGACAGTATCCGACCTGTTCCAAAAGGGGCCCTGGGAACCCAAGTGGACAGGTAGGCACCGCCAGGGAGAGGGGCTAGGAAGTGGGGTGGGGCCAGGTGTTTGGGTCACTCCTTTCCATGAATTCAGCTTCCCTCTGCAGACCCGAGCCTCACTCCCCGGCGTCAGCCTGCAGAGGTGAGGCGGAGACGCTGGAGGAGCTGGGAGCCCACCCCACTACCTGCCGGGCCTCCCTCCCCGGCAGAGCTGTGCAGAGTGCTTCTGAAGCGCTGATCAAAGGCCTGGGAGAAGTGGGAAGGAGCTCTCGAGTCAGGCTCCCTGGGGCGGTGTGAGTGTGTATCCTGTAACCAGGCAACCAGGGTGCTCAGGCCTTGGGCTGCTGCCCCTGGTGCTGCAGGCTGCGTGGGGCCCAGCCTGGCACGGTGTATCAGGGCCAGCAGCATGCACTCGCTGTCCATCCACTGTCCCTTCTTGTGGTCGTCCACTCGTTCAGCAGCTCTGGGAAGGAGGCACCAGGATTTGAGTGAGGATTCTTAGAATAAAACAATTTCTACCCTAAAGGAGCCTTGCAGCTAGATGCTCAGGGTGCTGTGCTAGGTGGATGGGCCAGGGGCTGAGCCAGGGTCAGCGTGCAGGGGCACTCATGCCTTCAAGTGTCCTGGGCAGGAGCCAGAAATGACAGGGCTCTAGGCACTTTCTGGGGACTACCTAGGCCCACTATGACCCTGCCTGCCAAGTCTCTGATGAATCCATGACTGATTATGGCTAGCGAAGGGGCAGGGCCTTGGGTTTGTGGCCCAGGCCCCCCGCTGGCCTCCCCTGCTTTGCACTGGGGCACCCTGTAGGTCCTTTCTGTTTGCCAGTGAGAACGGGGATGCCCGGGGAACAGGCCTGTCAGGCTTCTGGACCTGTTGGAAGGAGCAGGCATCCCAGGCAGAGCTCCGTCCCATGGGGGAGGGACCCCTGGAAGACGAGTCCATTCAGTAGCTCGTGTAGGTGGCTGTGGTCACCCCTCAAGGTGTCTGGTAGGTCAGTTTGTCCCTTTAACCCTGGAGAATGGTCAGCCCCTCTCCTGCCCCTTGGGAGGAGTTTCTAAAGCTCTGGAGGATTTAGGGGGAGTGGGACACAGGGCGTTGGCAGTGGTGAGACACAGGGAGGAAGCCGTGTGGGGAAGGCAGCATGATGGGGGCACCACTGGATTAGCTCTGCACCTTCACCTCCTGGGGCCTCTGGTTCCCCGAGGGAGCAGAGACGTAACCCTGATTCCTTATATTCCAGGGTTGGTATCAGGATGAGAAGAGGGTGAGGGAAAACTTTTGCGGACAAGAATGGTGGCACCAACACCAAGAGCCTGGCCTGGCTCCCAGAACAGGACCAGGGCAATTTGACCAGGGTCTCCCTGTCTTTGGAGACCATGTGGCTGGAGCCCTGGCAGCAATGGCCTGTGCAGTGGCTACCATGGGAGGCTCTGGGTCTCCACAGCCTGCTTTCAACCAGCACCACCATTTACCAGATGAGACTGTGTCGTGCCTCACTTTCCCCACCTGTAAATGGGGGTAATAGAACTGTCTTGGGAGTGACTCTGAAACTGGGAAGCGCTAATACAAAATGTATAAACAGGAACCACTCGGAAATGATGGCCCCCTCACAGTAAATGTGGAACAGCCTTCCAGAGCCAGGAGAGAATGGCTGTTTTTGCTATTTGGGGAGGGAGCCTCTCCCCAGGGAGGTGTCACACCAGTTACTACCGTGTCCAGGTTTTCTCAGGCTGAGGCTGCAGGCAGGGCGGTGTGGCACTGCCCCCTGCAGCAGGGAGGGGAACTGCAGCTGCACTGGCTGGTGGAGGGGCGGGGAGGCCTGATCCCTGTGGTCTTCCCCCCAGATCTACCGGAGGTGCTGGCTGGTGTTCCGGAAATCCTCCAGCAAGGGGCCCCAGCGGCTGGAGAAGTATCCGGATGAGAAGTCTGTGTGCCTCAGAGGCTGCCCCAAGGTGAGGGGCCAGGGCCCAGCTCCCCGCTCCTGTGAGCAGAGATGACCTACTGTTGGGAGGTCCAAGGACATCCTCCAGGCGGTGGGGGCAGGGGTGGGGGAGTGCTGTGGGGAAGCAGAGGGAGGTGCTCCAGCCTGGTAAGTCCCTATGGATGCCATCCTAGGTGACAGAGATCAGCAATGTGAAGTGTGTCACACGGCTCCCCAAGGAGACCAAGAGGCAGGCAGTGGCGATCATATTCACCGACGACTCTGCGCGCACCTTCACCTGCGACTCAGGTGAGGTCCCAGGCTGCAGACTCCTCTAGGCTCCCTGGACTGGTCATGGTCAGTGGTTCGGACAAGAGGCGGAGAGGGTGTGGCAGTGTGGGGTGTCTGAGGGACAGGCGGGCAGACAGGGGTCATGGCCTTGCCCTCCTTGCCTTGCAAGGTGGGGTAACTGAGGGTCAAGGCGGATGGGGTGGGCTGCTGGGGACCCTGAGCTGGCAGCATGAAGAGGTGCCATTTTCTCTAGAGCTGGAGGCAGAAGAATGGTACAAGACACTGTCTGTGGAGTGTCTGGGGTCACGGCTCAATGACATCAGTCTGGGAGAGCCTGACCTCCTGGCCCCAGGGGTGCAGTGCGAGCAGACAGGTGAGCCCTGGCCCTGGGGGGTGGGGGTGGGCGGCAGGAGGCGCCTCCTGTGGCAGCTCCACGCCACTTGCCTCTCCTGCTGCAGATCGCTTCAATGTCTTCCTGTTGCCCTGCCCCAACCTCGATGTGTACGGCGAGTGCAAGCTGCAGATCACCCACGAAAACATCTACCTCTGGGACACACACAACCCCCGCGTGAAGCTCGTCTCGTGGCCCCTCTGCTCGTTGCGCCGCTATGGCCGGGATGCCACACGCTTTACCTTCGAGGCTGGCCGGTAGGACCCTCTTGCCTCCCCACCCTGCATCGTCATGATAGACCTCTTCTGCATCAGGCACTGTGCTAGGAGCTTCGTTTACTTATCAGCATAACAATCCAATGGGGAATGTGGTTTCCCATTATGCAGATGAAGAAGTTGAGGCTCAGAGAAGCAACTCACCCAGGGCAGGCAGGGCGGGCGAGACTGTACCAGAGGTCTAACTTCCTGGGCTCAGATCCAGTGCTGGCACCGGCACTTATTTGTGATCGTGCACTTGGGTCCTGGCTTCCTCATCTGTCTCCTGGGATAGTAAAGTACCTAACTTCATAAAATTTTAGTGAGGATGGAGTAGCCCCAGACTGGAACCCAAAACATTCTGTATGATCCTCTGTATCATCTTGGTTGTTATTCAGCTTCTATATGCTTCAGTTTCCTCATCTGTAAAAACCATTTAAGGAAACACAAAATGAGAGGGGAGATCAGAGGGTGGTGGTGGGGAAACGGAATGGGTTAATTCTGTGAAGCATTTAGACCTCCAGCTGGCACACAGAAAATGGCACATGTGTGCTATGTGGCCAGGCTCTGGGAGCAGAGCCCCCTGCTTCCCAGAGGGCCCGGTGTGGCCACCGCTGGCGTGCAGGAGAGCCTGAGAAAGCACAGGGTCTCCACCACCTTGCCACCTGTGTCCTCAGGATGTGTGACGCTGGGGAAGGGCTCTACACCTTTCAGACACAGGAGGGGGAGCAGATATACCAGCGGGTCCACAGTGCCACCCTGGCCATCGCCGAGCAGCACAAGCGGGTCCTGCTGGAGATGGAGAAGAATGTGAGGGTGAGGCAGTGGGTATCAGCCCAGGGTGCAGGGGAGGCTGGGGGCGGGGGAGGCTGGGGGCAGGGGTGGGCAGGCCTGAGTGCCTGGGGTCTGCCAGCCAAGTCTCTAGCCGGGTGTGCTCAGTCAACAGGCAGGGTCTTGGGCTGGCTACTCAGGGGTAGAGCAAGCCACTGCCTGCAGAGCTGACGGAAGGGACCCCTCTGCCCCTCAGCTGCTGAACAAGGGCACTGAACACTACTCATATCCCTGCACACCCACTACCATGCTGCCCCGCAGTGCCTACTGGCACCACATCACGGGTTCCCAGAACATAGCCGAAGCCTCCAGCTATGCAGGTGAGTTGCTTCCGTGTCCCACCCCCATGGAGGGCACATCTTGTGACCTGGATCTGAGTTCTGAGCCAGTTTCTATACCCACAGGTGAGGGGTACGGGGCAGCCCAGGCCAGCTCAGAAACGGACCTTCTCGACAGATTCATCCTGCTAAAGCCAAAGCCCAGCCAGGGGGACAGCAGCGAGGCAAAGACCCCTTCCCAGTGACAGCAGGGCTGGCAGGCACCAATGACTGTTGGGGGCTGCCTGTTGCAGGACAGACTACAGCCTACTGTGGATGGCCTCAAGAGGCTGTTGGCCAAGACCTGGAGAAAGGGAGCAAGCTGTTCCCTCCCTGCCCCCGAGGGTGAGGCTGGACCAAGGCAAAGCGCTGGCCACACTGCCTGAGCATGTGAGGGGCCGGAGCCACCATGGACTATATCCTGTTGATGATTTTAATATTTATGGCTTATGACATATTCTATATTAAGATTTTCCCCCTGTCCCTTCCCGCCAACACATACATTTTTAATCCCATGACCAGGCCATGGTCAAGGCTGTTATAAAGATTATGAGGGCAGCTGTTTGCCTGTCCTTTGTGGTACAGCCCTCCTGCTGCCAGGACCTGCTTGAATTGCCAGGGCCAGAGGAGGGGGACAATCAGAACTCAAGGCTGGCATTGCTTGCTGACTTTTCCCAAGCAGCCTAGTGGCCAAGACAGCAGGTGGCTTCTCTGTTCCTTTGGGCCTGTAGTGGCACAGGAAGGATCCGAACTTCCAGAATGCCACTTAGCAGCCTTGCACTTGGAGTTTTAAGCAGAGGTGACATCTGGTTGATGCCTCAGGTGAAAAATCTGGTTTTAAAATGTAATTTCTGCACAGGCTCCTTCCTGCTTAGCAGGATGAGAAGAGGTCCTCAGGGTAGGGGTGCTTATTACCTCAGCCAGGTGGAGGATGGCTGGGGCCCGTTCCTGCCCCAGGGCCAGGCCAGGCGGCTGCGGCAGGACTGCTGTGGGGAGCACCCCTGCTGCCCTCTCATTGACTGGGGTACAGTGCCCCAGGAGAGGGAGACCCTCTGCCATGGGTTTGGCCACCCTATGCCAGAGCACTCAAACCACCACTTCCCCATTTCTCTTCCCCACATGGTGCTGAGGCTCCCTGCTGAAATGCAATTAAAGCAATTGATTTTCTAGTGCTGGTATTTATTGACTACCGTTGCAGAAGGGCTATCTTTCTATTCACATCAAACCTTTGGTTGCGTGGTTTTTGTTTATTGTTTTTTAATACTTTAGGGTTCGGATTTGTGGGAACAGACCTTCTTGTAAATAACCACTATTACTTTTGTGGCAGGAGAATGCTAAAGCAAGAGGACCCCTCCCAAAGGAGCCCTAGAGACAGGGAGGTGGCACAGCCAGCTCAGCTCTGATGTGACCCAGGGAATGACCACCCAGAGTAAGCTAGTCTGCAGCGGGAACTGGGGTCCACAGGACTGGGTCTGGTGGTAAAGCTGGCTGGCTCAGCTAGTGGCACGATGACGCATGAAGGAGATTATGTTGTGCTCTTTATTGCCAAAAATAAAAACTTTTAAAAAAGACAACTACTGTTAATCAATAAATACCCCTTCCTTTCTAGACTGAACTCTGGTTTTCTCCAGGCTGCCTCATTAACTGCTTTGGGTAGGCTCCTACCTGAAGACAGCGCTAGGGGGCCAGGGCCAGGGCCAGAACCTTCATTAAGGAGAAATGAAACAGGTGGAAGGGGCCTTTGCTTCTGCGGTCCCCCACACCAAGCAAAAGGATCAGGCTGTTGGCGGGGAAAGTGTTCAAACAGCATGTTTATTTGTGGAGGGAGGGGACAGCCAGAGTCTATCCTAAAGGATTACTTTCCAAATTAGGAACACCCAGAAATTTGAGGTGCCAGTAGCCTGGCTCTGGGGAAAGAGTCAGGAGCATTTATCACCTGCCTAAATGAAGGTTCTAGCACTCAATCCTAACACCGAAAACCTAAGCTCCAGCTGTGAAAATCCCTTCTTGTTGGATGGAAAGGGTATTAAGGAGCTGCAATGACCAGGAGGAGTCCAGCTCAGTGGTTCTCAGAGGGGAAGCAGTATGCCCCCTACTGGGGTGCTAGGAAATGGGATGGGAGGGATGTTCTGGGTGCTGGGGAATACCACTGGGCCTTAACAAATAGGGCCAGGCATGCTAACTGTCTAGTAAAAACTGTCCTACCCTAAATTCCAGTGGCATCCCTGGTAATCTGCAGCCCCGCTCTGGCGGGCACTGATGGCCTGTCATGAGGCTTGAATAGCAGTCCAGAGACCCCAAACCAGAAGGTGTCAAAGACCTGAAACCCAATTACTATCTGGAATCCCCACTTTTGCTGAAATAGGTGAGCTGAAGCTAGTTTATGGTCAGCACATCACTTTGGATCTCGTGGCTTAACTGAGTCTGTAAATCACTCAACTTCTTCTTTAATCCAGAGAGAGCTGAGAGAACAATGGTTTCAGGGCGCAGAGAACCACAGGACTCCACGTTGTAGTAAAACCTAAAAAGCAAGAATCCAGTGAGAGCCCTGGATGCAGGCTGGCCAGCCCGCCCCATCTCGGCCAGGGACTACCCTTCCTCTGAGTCTCGACTTTGTTCCCATAAGGAACTTGACTTTAGCACTGGCTGACCTCCCTTCATCTAAAACCTCTTATGCAGAGTGGTCCAAACTCTTTGCAGGCCCTCAAGGAGGCTAACGTTACTTCAAGATGCATTGTGAGACTCCCGAAACAACCATGTATGTTCTACACTGCGGAAAAAGTGGAAAATCAAATAAGCAATGAATCTGTGCTACAGCCCCATATATTCTGCACTGTAGCACTGTGGCCAGTTTCTGCCTTGAACTTGGACCTGCACAGCCTTTTCTTTGGAAGAAGCTCAAGGCAGAATAGGAACAGCTTGGGTCAGCGGAGAGTTCCTCTTTCTCATGGTTACCAAAAAGGGCTTGGGATGTGCACATATCACAGGCTATTGGGCAGCTGGGGCCTCCCTCAGCTATGGGAACTATGATGTGAGGGAGCGGGACTGCCTAACGCAGCCTGTACCCACATCCCGGAAAGGACCAGGGTCTTACCTTTCTGGCTTGCCATTGGGGTCATAGGGAGCCTGTGACTCATCCTCATCCAGCTCTGAGTATTCACTCTTTGGCCTGAGGTCAAACACAGGTCAATAAGGCAGCTGCTTTTGCTCTTTGACGTTCACAGCCAGCCAACCCTTTCTTGCTCACTAGCAGTTGTGTCCACCCCCGCTCTAGCCCTAAATGCCCACCTTCATTTCTGAAAGGAACATACCATTCCTCAGGCTTGGGGTACACTGTATGCCTCAGGGCATTGTCGGGATCATATTCAAAAGCCACCCCTGCAGTGGGGTTCCACTTGGCATGTTCCTTGCCAAAGCCCTTTTTGGCATAGGCTCGAAGCCTCAGCTCCTGGCCCTTTCTCAGCTTGACGATGAGGATGTCTGCAAGGAGACATGTGAGTTAGTCAAGGACCAGGAGAGGTAAATTTGGCCTGGAGTGCGATCAGAAGACAACACACACACACACACAGAGAAAAACAGAACCAAGTCACAAGGAGACCTGGCGGCACGAGAGGCTGCCCCTCTGGCCCATGTGGTGACAGCTCAGGAAAATGTTTGCACACTCCTCCAGCCCCTTACCATCCTGCTCCACGTAGTCGTTGGGGTCATTATCTCGGTTCCGGGATGTCACCTGCGTTGGAGCCCAAACAGAAGCATCTATTAGCCTCTCCCCCGCCAGGTGCCCCTCTGGCAGCTATCTCCCAGCACCTCCAGCCTACAATCTGTCAAGCAGGGAAATGACACCTGAGAAAGTGGTGGCAGAGGTGCCGCCAGGGATTCCACTCCACTTTATGCTCCTGTAATACCGTTTAGTCAAAATAATCCTATGGCCTTTACAGGTTCCTCAGGTGACAGGGCACAAGGCACCAATCCTGTTCTGCCTAAGAATCCAGAATCAGCACTTCCAGGTGTCAGGTTAAAGAAGACAGGGCACAGGAAGGTCAATGACTCGCTAGGATCCACTCCAACCTGGCCCATGTGGAGCCACCACAAGAACAAAACCCTGGGGAGGGAGGATGTGCTCAGGCACTGACCGGAATGACCCGGGGGCTGTTGGAGATGAGGTCTCGGGATGTGACGTGCCGCGTCTGGTCTTCATTGCACCTCACGTCCAGGGTGAACTCCACAGAGCACTCAGGGCAGAATTCCTCACACGTGCAGTCCTGAGGTAGGAAGAGAAGGAGGAATATGTGTGTGGTGAGCCGGTGAACCCCACCAGACTCCCTGCTTCTAATATCCACTGCCTTTAAATTTCTTCATCTAAAAACAATGGGTTGACCAGTCTCCAGGCTTTCTGGGCTGTGACAATCTGCTACTCCACTCCGCTGCTCAACTTTCCAGCCAACCCATGCACACTGACACCAGCTTCCTCCGCACCCATGCCGCCAGGCACCACAGGGACACAAACTGCTGACCGCCCTCTGGCCTGAGTACCTTCCTCAGAGGACTAAGGCTGTTAGGGAAAGGATGCTCCATGTGCAGTGGTTCAGCTTGCCTCGGACTAGGAAGACCAGCTTGGGAATGAAACCATTTAAAATATAACAAGCCAAAGAAGAAAAGAAAAAAGCACTTTTCAAGTTTTAGCTACTGACCTATTTTTAAAGAACCTCATGACATTTCATGCATACACAAAAAAGAGAGGTGAGTAAAATAAACTGATGTCATGTAACTATCACTCAGTTCTTGTAAATGTCAATATTTTGACTTTTTTTTTTTTTGGTACCAGGGATTGAGCTCAGGGGCACTCAACTACTGAGCCACATCCTCGGCCTTATTTTGTATTTTATTTAGAGACAGGGTCTCACTGGGTTGCTTAGCACCTTACTTTTGCTGAGGCTAGCTCTGAACTCGCAATCCTCCTGCCTCAGCCTCCTGAGCCACTGGGATTTCAGGCATGTGCCACTGTGCTCAGCAATATTTTGCCATTCTTTAAATAAGTCACTCTTGAAACCACCTATTCCTATGTTAGGGACTTCCTGCAGCAATTTAACTCTGGGCAAGAAGAAACTCAGGAGAACACAATCACAAAAACCATTCTCCCCCTCACATCAGTGAGAAAAACCCAACACAATTTGATGTTTCAAGATGATGAGGAAGAAGAAATAATTAGGGCTCCCATCTAGGTACTCTGCAGTCGTATACAGATGGGGCAGGAAGGCAACTCAGACCTTTGGACTGGATCCCTCTTAAAGATGTGAAAGGGAAGAATCAAAATATATTCAGGAAGATAAAATATGAAAAGGAACTCAACCTGAAAAATAAAAGTATACCAAAAAGGAGTTTGTTCAAGATGGAAAAAAGACCATAGAGCTAAGATAACCAAATGCAAAGACTAAAAAGCTCTACCAAGTAAATCTTTTTTATGTATATATTTTTTCGTTTGGGGTAGACACAACATCTTTATTTTATTTTTATGTGGTGCTGAGGATCGAAACCATTGCCTCACACATGCTAGGTGAGCACTCTACCACTGAGCCACAACCCCAGCCCCCAAGTAAATCTTGACAATGTCACAACCCACATATACATACAAACAGTAAAGAATATCTTGGGGATAGCTAGAAAAATATGAATATATACTTTATATAAATATTATATAACTAATGCTAATTTTCTTGGGCACAATAATAGGGTAATTATATAAGAAAATACCATTCTTAGAAAAAGTGTCTGAAGGGGCTGGAGACATAGCTCAGTTGGTAGAGTGCTTGCCTCACATGTATAAGGCCCTGGGTTCAATCCCCAGCACCACCAAAAAAAAAAAAGAAGTGTCTGAAAAGTATTTAGGTGATATATGGATCAGATGTCTGTAACTTACTTTCCAATAGTTCATCAAAAAAAAACACCAGATATGAAAATAAGTGAATGTAGCAAACTATTAACAACTGATAACTACAGACAAAATATAAAAGAATGTTTAATATTTTTTCCCCAAATTTTCTGTAGATTTTTAGAAAAAGATGAGCTGAAAAAAACCTATACCATCTTTGTTCAATAAATATAACACTGGAAGAAAATTTAATGGAAGGAATTGCTAGGCCATAGGACATGCATATCTTTATGCAAGACATTGCCAAATTATTTGTAATTGTGGTACAACTATCTCCACCAACATCCATGTTTTATTTCTTAAAAACAAGTCTTGCCAGGCCATGGTGATGCACCCCTATAATCCCAGCAACTTGGGAGGCTGAGGTAGAAGGATCACAAGTTTGAGGTCAGCCTCAGCAATTTAGTGAGAGCCTAAGCAACTTAGCGAGACCTTGTCTCAAAATAAAAAATAAAAAAGTCTGGGGATGTGGCTCAGTGGTCAAGTGTCCCTGGGTTCAATTTCCAGTTCCAACAAAGCAACAACAAAAGTCTTGGCTAGGGGTAGTCCTTGCCTAGCACGTGGGGGCCACTGGGGTCAGTGTCCAGTTGTCTGTCTGTCTCTCTCTCTCTGTCACACATACACACAAAAGCAAGTTGTTAAGTGCACTATGTTATTAGCTTCATATTTTTCTGTGTGCTTCAATATTCCTCTTAAAAAAAAAAAAACTATGTTAGGGGCTGGGGATGTGGCTCAGCGGTAGAGCACTCGCCTAACACGTGTGAGGCCCTGAGTTCGATCCTCAACACCACATAAAAATAAAAAGATATTGTGCCCAACTACAACTAAAAAATAAATATTTTTTAAAAACTATGTTACGGGGCTGGGGATGTGGCTCAAGCGGTAGTGCGCTCGCCAGGCATGCGTGTGGCCCGGGTTCGATCCTCAGCACCACATACAAACAAAGATGTTGTGTCCTCCGAAAACTGAAAAATAAACATTGAAATTCTCTCTCAAAAAAAAAAAAAAAAATTATGTTACAAAAGATATAAAAAAAAAAACAAAAAAAAAAAAAACAAACACCCCCCCCCAAAAAAAAAAAAAAAACACAATAAAACAAAAACACAAACACATGCCCTTGGAAACAGAGAATGAGCTGATTCAAGGATCACCAAAGCCACCAAGAAAGCATACTCAGACTGTTATCTAATGCGGCCCCATAAAAACATGGAGGAAACCTAATCTCCCACTTTTTCCTGATAACATCATCAAAGAACAAACCTGACCTGGAGCCAGGGATCCTACCCTGGTCATGTTAACCAGCATCACCTACAGGAAGAGGCATGGATCTGGCAGGCACCAGTTAGTTATGTGAGTGCCTCGGGTGCTATTCTTCTGGGCAGCTCCCACTCCCTCTGTACTCCTTATCTTCACCACAACCTTCTGCTGCCTCCCTTTAGGCTGCCAGGCCTCCACCCTGGGAAGACACACTTTGGAAGGAAAGAAGGAAGGAAGGAACCCACTGTTCAGCATAAATGGACATTCTGATGGATGCGCCCTCTTGTGTGGCTAACAAGACACCTCATGCCCTGGGTACCTCTCATCAATCTGAGTTCCATCAGAACCAAGAACCTGGACGTACTTCAGGCTTTAGACGACATTTTCACATGTCTTTCTAAAATATCAACCTAAAAGCAAGAGGTCAGAAAAGATCCCTCAGAGAGCTGAAGCTTCTCCCCTACTCCACAGTCAACCCATTACACACTTACCCGGGAGTACTGCAGCTTGTCCACAATGTCATCACTAGTGAGGGGAATTAGTCCTGTAAGACACAGAAAAGCCCTTTAAACAAGACCCAACAGCTGGACATGGTAGCACACTCCTATAGCCCAGCTACTCAGGAGCCTGAGGCAGGAGGATCACAAGTTCTAGACCAGCTGGGCAACTTAGCAAGACCCTGTCTCAAAATTAAAAAACAGAAAAGGGCTGGGCAATGTATGCTCAGTGGTACAGAGTTCCCTAATTCAATCCCCAGTTCTGGGGAAAACAAACAAACAAACAAAAAAACACCCAACAGGAATGCCAACCCAAGAACCTAAATTCCCCTTGAGGGGCTCCTCCTATGACACCAGGCATAGTACTCTCCCTTCACCCTCCCAACACCAGCACTCACCAAGCCTGTGAGCAATGAACTCATCATGAAGGACTGAAGAATTGGCATCAATCTGAACCCAGTCAATAGCTAAAAAAAAAAATGAAGAGTAGTTAAGTCACCAACTTCATCAGAGATTCAAACAGTGTGCTCAAGATTCAGAAATCACCTGATGCTTCTAAATTGCAGACTCCTGAGCCAGGCTGCCAGAGGCTGATTCCACAGCACCAGAGCCTAGGAATCTGCATTTTAACAAGAACTACACACCCCATACTCCACCTCCCTGCCCAGGTGATAATGCAGGGGGTTGACACTCACCTAAAGAATATAAAAGGAATGGGAACATATCATTGAGCTGAATATTTCTGTGAGAAGCCAACCCGTGCCAACACCAAATCCAAAAACTATTGGGGAACTTAAAAATTATGGAAAATGGACTGGGGTTGTGGATCAGTGGTAAAGCACTTGCCTCACACATGTGAGGCACTGGGTTCAATACTCAGCACCACATAAAAATAAAGGCATTGTGTCCATCTACAACTGAAAATATTTTTTAAAATGTGGAAAATTTCACAGAAATAATAGACTTATGGTCATATGTCATTTTATGATACAATGACCAGATCACCCAATTTAGAACTTCACTATCTCTCAATGGATAGATGTTTACTGAATTTCTTCAGTGGGTAAGGCACAGTCCTATCAACAATGAGGTGGATGAGGAAGGACTGTACTCTCAAACAAGCTTGACTTAAACACAACTGTCCTCACATATACATCTGCACATGATTAAGTCAAGAAGTAAAACAGCATTGCAGCCCAACTGTTACTAGGGCACGGCCACTAGTTACAGAGTGTCCTGCTACACTTCCTCAACCCAAGCAAGGACCATGACCCAAGCTTTTCTGCTTCTTTACTCTCCTATCCCCATTCCCTGAAATGTCTTTACCTCTACTGCCCCCCACCTCCATACAGGTTAAAATCCTGGCCTAAAAACCAAGACTTCTCTGCTCTTCCGATTACAGCTATGATCAATTGCTCCCTTTGAACTGCTTTCACAAGCCACCAGAGCTCCCTTAAGTCACCTCTCACATGTTGCCTTGTGACATGTGCATGTCTTGTCTCTACTTCAACCTTTGAAAATGCCCAAGGCCAGGGTCTTGAGACCCTTTGCATTTCTAGTGTGGGTGCTCAATGTCATTCGTAAAACCAAATTGGTGGGAAAAGCAGCATTTAGACCAAGAAGTACATCATGAAGTACAACTCTCTTTACTCAGGATGAAACACAGCCAGGGGCTGCAGGGATTAGGCAGGGGGAGGACAAGCAGTCCAGGCTGAGCTGATAACTTGACTGGGAGTGGTGATGTGAATGAACTAAAAATTTTCTTGTTCTATAATCATTTGATCTGTTTATTTCCTTAAAAGCCTGAACACTTGAAGCAGCAACTATGACTCATATTTCCTTTTTTGGGCCCATTTTCTTTGAGCTGACACTTAGAATCTACTTGTTGAATTTTACATACGCATGGTCAGTGTATAAAACACTTGCAGCAGAGTGGCTGGATCCCAACCAGAGACACGTTTTCCCTCCACTAAGTGCCAGCTTCACTGTGGCTTTGCTTCTCTTGTCCTGACCACAGTCTACCTTACACCAATGTTGTGTAAGGATTCGTTTTTCCCCCCTGCAACTTCACTGTGAGCTCCAAGAAGGCTGAAACGCTGTTCCTCACAGCTCTGCACCTCCAGTGCTTGGAACCATGCCTGGCACTTACATGCTCTATATATGCAGCGGAAGAACAGATCATTAGAAAAGGCTCAGTGATCGCAAAGCACTTACAGATGACCTCACTTGATCCTTGCTAGAAGCCAGTAAGGCGCACCAGTGTCTGAACGTTGCAGATGAGGACTACCTGCAGCATGCGGAAGCTGAATAACTTGCCCTCTTACCTTCTCTGGTTTGCACAGACGGTAAGTAAAAACAGTACTGGAACCCAAGCCGGCCTACGCTCCTCACCCAGAGGGTAAGGGTTGGCCTAACTGACCCGAGGGAGCCAGGAAGGCCAGCAGTGACCACGGGATCAAGGGCACAGGGCCTGATCAAGTCTCCAGCACTGCCGTCTTCTCAGCACCCCCAATGCCAGACCCACCCGAGGACCGGAGGCAGGAGCCCCAGGTGGGCGGAGGGAATGGGGGCGGGAATGGCGGTTCTGGCAACCAGGGGGTCGCTTACCTATTATGGGCACCTCGGCGATGAAGACCCTCCGAATGGAATTGGCCACTCTGAAGGAGAAAACCCCGAGCGGCGTGAGGGTGCCGCTGGCGCGACAGGCCGGCCCCGCGCGCAGGCTCCCAAGCGCAAGCCCTGGCACCGGGCGGCTCAGGAAGGTCCCTCCCTCCCCCCACTCCAGAGCCGCCAGCCTCGCCCCTCCGCGGCCTTACGCCAGGTCCGTGTTCTCAATGATGAACTTGACGTTCTCGTCGGTGAGCTCCGTGATCCGCACCGTGGGCTGGTTGGCGTACGGCATTGCGCCCCGCGTCCAGCCGGCCCCCGCGACAGCTGCACCGCGCCTGCGCCGACTCCGCCACCGGAAGTCGGTCAGCGCGGCCTCTGCCCCTTTTGTCGAGGCTCGCGCGCAGCGCCACCTGCTGCTCGGAGGCCGAAACCGCCCCAGGTCCGCGTTTTCGAACCCCATCTGTTCCTAAGTACATCAGGTTCAACCATCGTGGAAGGTAATGTGGCAAAACTTGAGCATGTTTTTGACTCAACAATGAACTAGCTGGTGGCGCGCGCCTGTAATCCCAGAGGCTTGGGAGGCTGAATCAGGAGGATTGAAAGTTTGAGGCCAGCCTCAGCTACTTGGTGAGACCCTACCTCAAAATTTAAAAAAAAAAAAAAGGGCTAGGGATATATGTTGCTCAGTGGTACACTGGGTTCAATATCCAGTACCAACTTTTTAAAAAATAAACTTCTAAGAATTCATACTGCAGAAAAATTTGCAGTTGTAAAAATATGTACAGGGTTATTCGTGGCAGTATTGTAATGGCAAAAATATTTACTACACAGTAATTTTTGAGAGACTTGGTTAAATAGACACACATAGGAATACTATGAAGCTTTAAAAAGAATTAAGTAAGCTTGGTACACCTATGGAAAAACAATGTGTGTATACTTGAGCTAAGTGTGCTTGAAAGATAGGCATATACCCTTTCCTGTTGGCCCTTTAAGTTGGGATCATGCACTTCAGAAAACAGCAGGAAGATACAATGCATCTAATTTTTTTTCTTCTTTGTGGTCCTGGGAACTGAATGCAGGGGAACTCTTTGAGTAACATTTCCAGTACTATTTATTTTTTGTGATAGGGTCTTACTAAATTGCCAAGCCTGGCTTTGAACTTCAATCCTCCTGCCCCAGCCTCCCCAGTAGCTGAGATAACAGGTGTGCACCACCATGCTGGGCTTATCATCTACAGCTCTGTGTAGTTACAGTGGGTGAGAGCTCTTCAACTCTGCATCCCCAGTGCCTGGTGGTGGGCTCCACAGAGTGTGTGCTCCATTACCAAAGCCCCTAAACAGACTAGAGATGAGTTTAAACGGGGCTTAAAAAAAGTGGCAGCTGCTCATAGAGAAGAGAGGCCCTTGAATAGAACCCAGCAGGAGCTTCATCTAGGAAGCAGAAAAGCAATCAGAAAATAAAGAGAAGTTTGCTGTGGCAAAGAGTAACACCTTTTCCCGAGCCTAGAGGAAGGGCACCAAGGGGGCTCTTACTCCACAGCTCATGCCATCTCAGGGAATTCTGAATTATAGCCATCTGCTAAGATGAGGTGGATGCCCTGAAGGATAAAGGGGAAAATGCGATGTGGAGTAGCTTCTGCAGGAACTTCACAGGGTGTCACAAGGCACAAAGAATCAGAAGTATAGGGGGAAAAAAAACCCAGTAGTAGGCCCAGGAGAAGAGATCTGAGATCTGATTAGCTCCTGACATCCCCATCAATATTCGGCTGACACAGGCAGGAGAGAGCAAAGCAGGAGACAGAGTCAACCAGAGATGCAAAGGAGCCCGGTGAGCACTGGGCTGAGAGCTACAGATGATCACTGAAGTGGTGAGACAAGAGCAGCCAAGACAGCGAGTGGTTTAGGGGGACACCTGTTACCCTCATTTGTCTGATGGAAGACCTGGGCCCAGAGACATGGAGTGGTCCTAGTTATCCAGTGGGGATCAGCACCATAGTCAGAACTCAAGTCTCCTGGCCACTTGGCTCAAGCCTTTTCCGGCGGGGGTCTTGGATATCGATCATGGTCTACATGGAAAGTTCAAAACAGCAAAATGCTTCAAACGTATTTATTATTTTTACAGATTCTAAATACACTAATAATGCTGCAATGCATGCTGGTGTAAGGTGACACCACTGGCCACCCCTGGTGTAATGTGACACACTGTATCACACTTCTGGCCAGGCTGAGCGCCACCACCCAGCAGGCACTGTCTCAGGTGAAACAGTGTAGTTACAGTGAGTGAGAGCTCTTCATCTCTGCATCCCCAGTAGCTGGTGTTGGGTATGGTTTTTGAATGGACCCACAGGAGCCGCTCTCAGGACAGCAAAGGAACACCTGGGTCACTCGTGCCTGTGTCACACTGGGGCTGAGCTGCCACCTGGTGGTAGACTTTGTTTCTGACTTGGGAGCGCCACAGAACATTCCTAGGAAGGTTAGGACAGGACCAAGGTGACTGGGACACCATGACAGGGACATGCAGAGTTTCTGTGGCTTGAAAGCTTGGGTGAGTCTTGTTTTCCAGTCACGCAGTTGTAATGCAGAAAGGCATCAGAAGGCCAGGCCTGGGATCAGGAACTGAAGCAGTGGCCGCATCCCACGTCACAACTATATCACCAAGTGCCCTGGTTTCCAGGTAGCTGCTGTAGTGACTCGAGTCCTCCCGTGTTCTTGGTAACACCCTGTCCCAGGGGTTGCACTCCTTACTTGTTAAAACCCTTTAAATCTACCTGCTCCTTTTCTTCCAGGCACTCAGGGTTCACCCCTTCCTTTCACCGGCGCTGGTTTAGACCTGTCAAGTTCTTGAGCTGATACAGGGATGGAAACAGAGTGGTGAGGTCCTTCCCTCCTCCAGGACTCCAGAGGGGAAGACTGGCGTTTTCCAGGTGGCAGGCCTGGCTCTGAAACGGGCTCTTGACACACACCGGGAGTAAAAAGGGGCATTTGGGATCAAGACTAGGGCTGCCAGTCTTCTTAGTCTTAAGACTACAAAACCATGTGGGGTGACACGTAAGTATCAGAGGGGTAGATGGGATAAGCTGGGCTGTACTCACCGTCACTGCTGCACCCATGAGGCCCTGCACCAGCGCTTCTCCAGTGGACTTCACCTGGAAGGAGTCAGTTGCCCTTAAGCCCCAACATGAACTCAAAGGTGGGACAGATGGGACTGATCAGGAAGCCTGTGACCCCCTGCACTGTGCACTGGAGGAAGAGTCTATGGACAACACAGTTACAAATGGGCAAAGCACAGCTCCTCAGGGTGGGCTAGTATAAGAGAGCTGCTCAGCCAGGCTCCCTGGGAAGGCCCTGGGGACCGTCAGCTGAGGCAGAGAGAGAGCAGGAGCAGAACAGCCAGGTGACCAGCTGTGGCCCAAGGAGAATGAATGCACCCTTTGAAGAGGTTCCTAAACGGCTAGTCCCCAATTACCTGCTTGGCAGTGTGGCCCATGTTCATTGCATCATTAATCCGGTTTTCCAGGAAGCGCCAAGTGTCCTCGAAGTCTGGGGACGAGTCCTGCATCATCACCAGCTCTGTTGTGTTGTAGATGCCAACCAGCACGGCCCGGCGGGTGTACCAGTTAAACTGCGGAGAAACCCCCCCGGGAAAGAGAGTCATCACTGCTTTTGTGGGCTGTGGCGGTCAAGGTATTCCTATCCAAGGCCTTGCTGACTCCCGCACTCTCTCCTGACTTCTTTCCCTCACAGATACACATGGTCCTCTGGACAACAATAGTGTCCCCAATGTGGCTGCACATCAGAATTGTCTGGGGGATTAAAAATGTGAGCTCCTGGCCCCAACCTCTTAAGAGTTTTGAGTCAGTGAATCTGAATTAAGGGGTAGGAGCCAGGATGTCTAATAAACATCTCAGGTGATCTGACTACATCCAGTCCATTTTAGAACTGCTGGGGAAAAGACTAAGTCTTAGGGCATCTTAGAGTCCTGGGGAGGCTCTGCAACCAGTTATGATCAAACCCTAGTGTGTTGTCAGTCCAGTGAGGCTGGGGCAGATCAGGGACAGGTTACAACACCTGGGAAAGGTGAGCATTCAGGTCTCTGGTGACTTGTGTTGGTCCTGGCAAACCACTCTCCAGAGGACCAGCTCAGCTGCTTGGTGTTTTATTCCTTTAATTTCTTTGCTTTCTAATTTCATGTTCCTACCCTCTCTGTTGGTGGTATATTCCCACATGAAGATGTTGATTAAAGCACTTTGTTATAAGTGTGGTGGGAGGATCTGTGGGCCTCCTCATTCTGGATTCCACAAAGTACCATCACATTTTAATTTATTTTATGAAGGTGTACTTTGATTTTTTAATTTCCCACCAGAAATACAGTAGCATTAACAAGTCAGATTCTTCCCTGGTACCTCTTTAAAAGGAATTATTGATCTCTTAGCAAAGCAGGTCAAGATGGGTGGCAGGGAGAGTTTCTCTTTAAGGCAATGGTGTCTACATGGCACCTCCTTTTTTCAAAATCAGTCTCAGCAACGACAGACACTGAAGAACTCTGCTGCAGAATCTACATCTCAGGAGAGGGAGGGAGCATGACTAATAAAGGGCCTCCCAATCCCGAGGCCTCCTGAGATCTCGCACCACCACCGTGCCTGGGAAGGAATAAGCACCGGCTTGTGACTAGAATGCTGGTCCCTGAATGAAGATGACCTACATCCCACTCTGGCTTATTGAGGGATCCTTTTCATGCCTCAGATGGGAATGACTCTTGCAGGCCCCCTGAAGAGACTTGTGATCAAAGATATTTCACCAACTTTTAAGAAGTACTTTCCCCAACCCTCTCCTAGTGTCCTGTGGGCCTGCAGAAAACTCACATCAGTAGACTGGTCCCCAGCATAATGCCACATGTCATCCACCATGCTGGTCAGCAGGCTCAGGCTGGGTGGGATGTTGTGAGGGAGCAGGAGGATGCTGAGGGCCTGAGGAGAGAGTAACAGGAATAGGTACTGCACAGGCAGCTACAGAATATATAGGGGGTCGGCCCAGCTCTGGTTCTCTGAGATCTGCCCTCTCCACCCAGCGGTGGGAGCTCCTGGCAGTTACCAACCCTGACTAAAGCTGGGAGCCTGGGGCATGTTTTTGTCCTAACTTGGACAAAAATAGATTCTCCATCCCTAATATTTGTAATTGGGAATGCAAACAGCCAAAGGGTCTAGACTGGTCTCTCTGAGTCCTGAGAGCAAGGATGGGAGAGGGGACCTCATTCTGTCACAAAGAGTTAGAGCAGAGGGGAGCGAGGGTAAAAAGCAGGAGAGTTTGGGGTGGTTTCCAGGACATGCCGGGCTGACCCCAGCGCCCAGCA